GGCAGCCCTCGCATTATCACCCTTGTGCCCCAGCCAGCTCCTGTCACTGTCTACACATGTGTTTCAGTGGAGTAAGTAACTGCACCCTAAGATATACTGTCCCCATCTTACATTGGAGTTAATTAATTTACTGCACGCTAATACTGAAACACATGTAGACAGTGAAGCTTTACTGCGGAGCTGATTAGTCAACTCTTCAGGAAGCGCAGTAAAGCTCTTCAGTAAAGTATAGATGCAGCTAGAGGGAATTTGAGGGCATGTGTATACTGCCTCCAGCTGTGCTAGGGAGCTATTGCAGTTAAGTACGTCTGCTCCAGGCAGGCTGCAGCCCCAAAGTATAAAGCAGATGTTGTTTGGTACATGCCCAGGTCGTATCCTTCACTACCATGAGGCTCTCTGTCTTGGGCATGTTTATTGGCATGTGCCCAACACTGCTTTAATAGTGGCTACAGTACAGTTTTTCTGTATTTGCTACAGTGCCATGGACTGGGACTGAGTTAGCATGGTGTAGTCAGAAGTGGCTTAAATATGCCATTTCAATCCAAAATGTATTTGCTACATTAGTTTTGTGGCCACTGGAACAGGAATATTCTGGATCACTTTCTTTTACTAGACTCCTGAATTCTGTCTGAGTCCCTTTTAGATACCTGGTTTACCAAACTAGATTTGGGATATAGTAATTAAAAGGAAATGTATTTCAAATGTTTTAGCCCTCTGATCATGGCTTATAGTACCACAACATTAAATTAAAATAATTAGCAGCTAATATTTTTTAAACAGTTCTTTCCATGTAACGGTTTCTAAAGAATTCTCTTAGGTTGAGGTTTTTGCTCTCATTCATCAACTCCCATAGAAAGCATGCAAATAATTTTCTTAGGTATTTGTTTTTGCACAGATTTTTTTTTTTGAATCACTGGTAGAAATTGTCTTCCATTATGATGTTATTCATAATGAGGACTAAACTCATATATTCTAATTCTCCTAGGATTCTTCAGACTTCACCTCCTTTCTAATCAGTAGCTTGCCGTAGACTCTGACTGGATACTAAAAATATCAGATTGAAATGGGTAGTCTCTGAAGCTTTGGAAAATTTCACATTCCAGAGACTTTGATGAAAGGAAGCATTTTAAAAGTAAACTTAACCGTGATTGTTCTTGCCATCAAGATGTATTCATTATGCTTGTTAGCCTTCCAAAGAATTGTATAACTGTATTGCCTCTTCTCAGTTAGAATAAGCTCATGGTGGATCATGACTAGGCTCCTAATGAAACCCTTTGGAGACTAAGATAAATGATTCTCTAATTTGCTTTCTTTTAATACAGTGACAAATTTTGGGTCAGAATTTAAATATCTTATTTCAACTGATGAATAGCTAATTACCTAAGCGCCCTTGAGGCTGCTAGAAATTGCCATGTGTGTAACTGCTCATTTATGGGTGTCTAGAGTTTACAACTTGGCCCTTTCTTTGCAATGGAATCACTGTAGCAGTTTATAATCATTCTAGACCAGTGATGCTCAACATTTTGGCCTGGTAGGCCACATTAGGCCTGAGGCTTGTCCGTGGGCTGGATTGGACCTGGCACACTGGGATCAGGCCTCAGGGCTTTGCTACTGCCTGCACCTGGGAACCAGGGCATTGCACTGGCCTTGCCTGGTCCTGCATGTGGGTTTCATGCTGTGGGAGCTCTCTGCTGCCTTTGCCCAGTTACATGTGCAGAGATAGAGCTCTGGGGCCCCATGCCAGTTCTGCCTGGTTCCATGTATGGGGCCCGAGCTCCAGGGGCCCTGCACTGCCCCTTCCCACTTCCACTTACTGTGATCAGGGTCCGGGGGCCCTGCACTGCCCCTATGTGCCAAGATAGGGCCTTGTACTGCCTGTGCACCCAACCTAGTATGCAGGGCTGTGATCCATGGGGCTCTCCACAGACCCCTAGGGTGCCCTGTGGGTCAGATGACATGGCATAAGGGCCAGATCTGACCCACAGGCTGGGGATGAGCAGCCCTTTTCTTGACATAGCTAAATTTGTCAGTCCTGGTGTTAAAGTGTACCTATTTTTATTCTTCCTTGAGTCAAAATTTAGTAACATTTGTTTTTGTACTTTTCTTCACAGACTCCAGTGAATCAAGCCTCAACTCGTTCCCACTGCATTTTCACCATTCACATCTCAAGCAAAGAGCCAGGATCTGCAACTGTCCGACGCTCCAAGCTACATTTAGTTGACTTGGCTGGTTCAGAGCGTGTTGCAAAGACTGGAGTTGGAGGCCAGCTACTGACAGAAGCCAAATATATCAACCTGTCATTACATTACTTGGAACAGGTAAATTTAACATTGTGTAAGATTTTGTTTTTTACTTGGGTTTTTGTTTAGCCATTTGCATTACTTCTGAAATCTCTATTCCCTAGCTCTTATAATTTCAGGACCACATATATTGTAATGTTTCTTAACTTTTCTACATTGGTGACTCCTTATTGAAAGGAAAATATTTCTGCAAGTCCCTCACATATTGAAAGAGAAAGTAAATGGGCACATCTACACAAGAAACTTTCCTGTGAAGCAGAATAATTAACTGTACAGTAAAGCATCACCGTCTATACATATGAATAAATTAAGGCACAGTACACTAATTTACTGTTCTGCCACATAGTCCTGTCAGAGACAAGTGGTATCTGACAGTGCAGTAAAATACTGTGCTTAAACGCACATGTAGATGGTGATGTTGGGATTAGTTTACTTCAGCTCAAATTGAGCCTGAGTATATTCAGTTGCATTAATTGCATGTAAGTTACTGTGCAGTAAGCGGTTTTTAAGCCAGCGTCTACACGTGCAGGTGTTACAGAGCAGTTACACTGTGTGTGGACCAAACTGGAAGTTAATCCCAAATCAGTCCATACACACAGTGTTACTGCGCAGTAATGCATCTATACATGTGTTACTGTGTAGTAGGTGCTCGGGTGTAAATTTGTTACCTGCATCACGCAGGTGGCAAATTTATGCCCAAATTGGCGTAAGTCGCCATCGTTACTACACAGTATGAGCATACACATGTAGATGCATGCCTGCACTGTGCAGAAATTTTCAGTTATTGCACAGTAACCTAAGTTACTACACAGTAAGTGTGCACATGTAGACATGCCCAGTGTGTATCAGTGATAACAATGGTAACAAGAGGCACAGAGCAAATGCATACCACAAATCAAAAATATAGAAAGCAGACCAAAAAAAGCCATCATGGTTTAATGGAAGAAATACAGTGGTAATAAATTGAAAAAAGTCTTCTTTCAAAGGGTGGAAATCAAGTCCTAATGAGGAATATAAAAAAAGAGAACAAACTGGCAAATCAAATGTAAAACCATAACAAGACAAGCTAAGAAAGAATTTGAGGAAAAACTTGCTAGAGACATAAAAGGTGACAATAAAAATTTGCTAAAGTACCATATTTACTCAACTATAAAATAACTTCCAATAATTAGATTCTATAATTGCAAAATTTATAATTTTGTTATAATTTTTCAGGTATAAAACCTAATTATTGGAGGTTTGCCTTGCTACAGCAAGGGAAAAAAATCTGGAGGGGACCAGGTAGTCCCCCTACACATCTTCCCCCTGCAGTCCATTCCCCTCTTTGTTACTGCCAGACCGTGCTCCCTCTGATCTCATGGAAGTAAAGGACACATGAAAACACAAACCTTAAAATAAATATAATTTACCATATAGGCAAATTATTATAGGTACCTACATATTTAGTTCATTCAGAATTGATGCATTTTACATTTTCTGAAACTCCTGCAAGTTTTAGCGCAGGTACTGTACTCTACAAACACATTTTTAAGTAGTACTTTTGTACCTATTGGGTGTGTCCACATATGCCCCCAATCTGGTCACTTCATAGTCATTTGGTACTTGCTTTCGTAAGTTGCTTTAGCAAATGTTACCCTCATGCCTGGCTAGCCCTCCACACCCCCCACACTTGCAGCACTTTAGCAAGTACTAAATGACTGTGCAGTAACTGCCATTACTATGCAGTCCCAGTGGTGCATGGGTCATTTCCAACCCTACTGCGCTGTAACAGTGAGCTACTGCAGAGTAGCACTGGCGTCACAGTTTGTGCCTACCAACACTACATCACTGTAGTGACGAGCTACATCATTATAGCTTGTTGCTACTGCTAATTAGTGTCTCATGTAGATGCGCACACTGGGTGCATCTATACATGCTCTTACTGTGTATGAATAAATTCCAGAGCTTATAGCTCTGGATTTTTTTGCTTCTGGACATTCCATTTGAATGTATGCCTGGGACCGTAGCACATTGAGCTGGGTTGGAGCAGCCCTGGCTGGCAAGTGGTTCCAGGGGTCAGTCTGCCAGCCTGGTGAGAAGAAAGCAGAGAAGGAACTTCTGAAAAACTGGAAGCCAATTATACTTCTTAATATGGACTGTAAGTTAATGGCAAAGACTCTGGCTTTGAGGATGAAGAAAAACCTCCAGAAGACACTACATGAAGACCAAGTATATGAAATACCAGGTAGAAGGATCTCGGAAGTGATCAGTGTAGTCACAGATGTGGTGTCCCATATCCAAGAGAGGAAGACAAACACAGTTATAGCAAACTTAGATTTAGAAAAAGCATATGACAGAATGGATCATGATTACATATTTGAGGTGCTAGGAAAAATGGGATTCCCAGAGAAATATATACATTGGATAAAGTTATTGTATAGAGAAGCAGAGAATCAAGTCCAAATTAATGGGCACCTAAGCTGGACTTTAAAAATCTATACAGGGGTGAGATAAGGGTGCTCCGTGTCACCACTCCTATTTGTATGTGGTATGGAACCATTAGCACAAAGAATAAGAAAAGACAGGGTCATAAGTGGAGTAAAGATATTGGGGCGGAGCATAAAATCCTTCCTATACATGGATGATATAAATGTAGACTTTCGATGGAAAGGGTGTTAAAGCATACATCAGAGTATGGAGAAGCTACGGGGGGGAAATTAAATTGATCAAAAAGCTCCATAATGGGAGTGGGGAACTGGAGGGACTTGGAGAAGTTGGGCCTTCAAATGAGAGAGAGAGAGAGAGAGAAATCAGTGCGCTAGGGATCCCGATGGATGCCAGAGGGAAAGGTAATACGGTATGGGGTTCTGCACGAAGAAAAAGGTTTCTGTAAGTGTTTGTTTTTTGTGGGAAGTTGATGTATGTTGCTTAAGGGTTTAATATATGTAGACGTATGTGTGTGATATGTAGTTGTTTCTGTTATGAAGCCTTATGGGTAGCTCAATATGGGTAGCTTTGTAAGTAGAGAGTGATAATTGTGTTGTTAATAACATTTTGGGGAAAAATGGCTCCCATTGGCATGTTTGCTCAATATGGGCCACGTGTTTTATAGTTACACTCAGGGTTGGCTGCATTTAATGAGCTTCATAGTTGGTTTCCATTACTAAGCATATGCTGCTTTTGACAGCATGATCTAATGATCAAGAATGAAGTTAATGAAGTATGTGAATATAAGGCAAGGGGCTTTTTTCCTTATGCTGATTGTGGGGGAGAAAACTTACCCTGTATTTGAGCAAATATGGTACATAATAAGCTGAAGACCTGCTGGGGAGTCAGTTGGGTCTTTGCATGATCAGGCTGTAAAAGCAGCTCTAAAGAATGAAATGGCTATTGTTGAGAAACTAAATGCATTCTGTTTTTGTTGTGGAAGATGTTAGGGCGATTTCCTTACCAAATCCACTTCTCTCTAGATACAAGTCTGTGGAGCTGACCCAAATTGAGATTTTAGTTGATGAGGTTGTAGAAAAAATTGATAAATGAAACAGTAGGAAATCACCAGAACCTAATGGCATTCATAATAGATCCTGGAAGGAGCTCAAATTGGAAATTGTCAAACTCTTAATTATAACCTATTGCTAAAGACATCCTCACTATCAGAGGAATAGTTGCCAATGTGAAGGGTTGCCAATGTGAATCCAGTATTTAAAAAAAGGCTCTAGAGGGGACCCAGGAAACTATAGACCAATGAATCTAACTTCAGTTCCTGGAAAACTGGTAGAAACAATAATAAATAAAGAATTGTTCAGCACATGGATGAACATGACCTGCTGGGGTGGAATCAGCATGATTTTGTCAAAAGGAAATCATGTCTCATCAAGCTAAAGTTCTTTAAGGGTGTCAATAAGCAGATGGATCAGGGTGACCTAGTTGACATAGTATATCTGGATTTCCAAAAAGCCTTTGGCAAGTGTGCGGGCCGGGAGCGCTCCGGGCCCTTTTTCGCGCCGCGCGGGCTGTGGCCAGCAGCCTGGGCACTCTGGGTCAGAGAAAACAGGCGACACGCTAGAATTAGTCACGGACGCGTAATGGTTGATTTAAGATTATTTACTTACACCGAAGATGGTCGCAGTGCAGGCAGGAAAACTTGCTTGAGTTGCAGTTACAGATAGAAAAGAAGAGAGGCGGACAAGAGTTCCTTCCCGTGAACATTCTTCTAGCCCATCCGGTTGGAGGCTCTAAACCGCGAGCCCGTCGTGCCAACCGAAGAAAGTACTCGAAGAACAGAACTCTGAATAGACTCACACGAAGTTTGCTAGGCTCCGTGGAACTTGTGCGCGCAGGGAGAGGGATACGTCGAGGATTGCGAACGGCGACGGGGAGAGGCTAGAGGCTGATCAGACCCCTGTTGCCTTCTTGATATTCACGCTGGGTTCAATAGGCTCCGCAGCGCTTAGAGATCTTCATGAGACGTGAAGTCTCCTCCTCCTCCTGGTGTTCGTGGAGTCCTCCAACTTGGGTGGAAACCACTCAAGCTTTTTATACGGCTAGCAAGCCAATCACTAGCCGCCACGTGGGAATAATTTAGAACTAGCCAATGGTGGGGCACAAATTTGAATACGAATGGCGGGAACTCCTTGCAACGTGCATTTCTGTGCTGTAAGAAAGAAATGCACCCTGCAAAGAAAGCTACTGGTGGCGGGAATTCTTTTGCACCGGGGTTTTCCTCTGCAGCAGAAAACTCCACCGTGCAAAGAAGCTGAAATTTAGTGGGAACAATTTAGCAGTGCCGAAGCACTCACAAAACAAAAATCACACCCTTGGGTTGTGACAGCAAGGTTCTCCATCGAAGGCTCTTAGTGAAGTTAGGTGGCCATGGGATTACAGTGAATGTCCACTCATGGATTAGAAATTGGCTTAAGGAAAGAAAACAAAGAGTGAGTACAGGTTTCCCTTGCTTTATGCGGGTTCTGTACGTGTGAATTCACTCTTATGCGATGACCCTTTTTATACCAAAAATTCATTATATGAGAGGTAAATTC